TTCAAACAATGAATATCGTGGTCGCAGCATAAATCGAACACAAGCATTTCCCGTGACAATCAAGTACTCTGCCGCAGAGACACGCCTGGTCTCAAACCGCTTTGGAAAGAGACCTTACACTCAGCTGTAATTTTAGAAAAACGATAATTACAGTTGAAATTTTAGCAGTGAAATTTTTGAAACATTAGACTTGTATATATTTCAATAAAAGAGGCGTCACAACAGGTGAACGTCAACTGTACACTTAAGCACCGTCCACTGATATTGGTCTGCGTCGAAGCACGTCAACTGAAGTTCTTCTTGTAACCCACGTTTTATGTGCCTCTAAATACCCCCAGCCTTCAAGAAACAACAGTGAAAGCAAACTATCCAGGACTACCATCCTCGCAAGCGCAAGTGCTTCATTTCAGCTCACCTCATCTGAATTTGGTAACACCCGTGTTTCTGTTGGCATCATTACGGAACTATAAGAAATTCGTTATATGAGAATGTGCCACTTTTCAACCAAAAAAATGTACGTATCTTCAGCGTCATTTCGTATCCCTTCACTCAGCTCAATAAAAAAAAAAGTATGCCACAGTCACCTTACCTCCCGCCCCGCAGTGGTGGTCTATTGGCTAAGGTACTCGGCTGCTGAACACCAGGTCGTGGGACCAAATCCCGGTGGCGGCGGCTGCATTTTCGATGGAGGCGAAAATGCTGTAGGCCCGTGTGCTCAGATTTGGGTGCACGTTAAAGGACCCCAGGTGGTCTAAATTTTCGAAGCCCTCCACTACGTCGTCTCTCCAAATCATGTTCTGGTTTTGGGACGTTAAGCCCCACATGTCAATCAATCATCACCTACCGTCCCAATGCTTCGCGTAAAAGTGATTCCCGTTTTGCGTCGGATCTCAAATTTTTTTATACTTGGTGCTTTTTCACTGAAACTTTTTTGTATATGATGACGTTGGTGTGCCGTTATTGTACGTTTTACGTAATAAGCATGACAATAGTTTTCCAAAAATATTGGAGGTTTTACGGAATAAGCAAGCCTGAATATCCTTTCGAGTTTACGGGTGTCTAAATGACTTGCTTCCAGCGTACAATGCTACATGAGGTTGGCTGTCGCATGTACATAAGAACTCATGTCGCACGTGAAAACGTGGCTTACGTCACGGTAAAGGGCACCCAGCATGGCTTCGGCTATTTCCGCGCTAATCCTTTCAAGCAAGCTTGTAAGTAGAACTGCGTGCAGGGATCGAGTGGTTCCACTTACAGCGCACAGGGGACAGGTGGGTTACTGTAATGTCAGCAAGAAGTTGACTTGTTATCACGGATGTCATTCTTATCGTCGCAAATCCCATAACGCGTAGCTCTAGGTACACATACTTTTGCGCCCGCTGAGCTAGCGCTGGCTACTATAACCTTGGTTTATTATTGTTTTTTTAGATTTTTGTTCTATAGTTTTGGGCGAGGGCATGAGCCCTCACACGTGCATTATTGTGGCGAGCTTGTGGTGTGTTTTTGATTTGCCAAGTCCTATCTTAGGACAAACAGGCGACGATTCGCCGAAAGTTGTGTAAAGGCGCAGCATCGAGGCAATAATAAGACGCTTTTATTTTCCACCACGCGTTCTGAATCAGGCTTATGATTTCAGACACCGTCAGCTCCGGCAAATTTCAAAGGGTTGCCCTACAGACGCTTATTTCCGAAGTGCGTTCTCTTTGCAACTTGTATGTCCGTAACTACGTGCGATATTATGTGCAGTCTGTGAGTTTTTTTAGCCTTAATAGAAGTTCTCCAGCGTTTTGACTTCTTACTCAAGTGACCAGAAAGTCAGTTGGCGCTACTTGCATAGCGGCAGTGCGTTACTTTCTCCCACTTTGTTATACCACCTCGGGTGGTGCGTATTGGGCGCCGAGTGGAGAGAGTTGCTTTCACAACATCGTAAAAACCGGAATTGTACAGGCGATATTGGCTGAACGGTGTAAGAAAAAATAAAAGATCATTCTTTTAATGCTGTGTTATCCAATGCATTTGCATTTCCCCACAATTACTTTCGCGGAGGGGGGGGGGGGGGGCATTTGTTTTTCCAACCTAAGCCAACCTAAGCCACATTGATCTTACGAAGCTACCTTGAGTTCAATATGGTAAGAAAGATACATTTGGAGCCCATCATCAACTTTTCTTGGGAGACAGCGTCTGTTTGCGAATGCATTACGACAACCGGTGAACTAGAAACACACGTCACCTATCGACATTATTTATGCATGCCTAAATCAGATGAATACCCGAAGCACTTCAACGGAAACGCATTAGGTTGAGTGCAGTTTTACAAAACTCACACATGTGCACACACACACACGCGCGTCTTATGTTTCATTTTTTGTTTTCATAAAATATTTTTTGAGCTTTCTGACTGACGGCTATCTTCCCACTTGGTCATTCATACGACAGCTTCCACCTTCAAGTTGCCCAGTGTTGTCGATGAAAAACATCATAGAGTATTTTCTTGCTTAAAACAACAATTGTAATGATAGAGCTTGTAATATAAAAAGAAATATTTATTTGATTTTATTTAGCCATACAGGTAATTTTAATTTGAACCACCACATGGTGCAAACTGCCTCTAAATATGGACGAAGGCAACAATTTTGTCAAAATGTTCTTTCCTTTTTGTGAGTTTAACAGCTTGAGAGTTCTAAAAGTATTTTTCCCCCAAAATATACTATTCGTGAAATAAGTACCAAGTTCTCAGATATTCATACCAAGTACAGTAGTAGTTTGAAATAATGCAAACATAATACATTTTGGCTAAATTCTTGGAGGCGTATTTGGTAGAAAAACTGCACTATTATTACTAAGCTTCAAACAACTGACGCAGGCATTTATATGTAACTTGTAGACCGAATTTAGTATAGCAAAATGACCGGTATTTGGGCGACATTCTGGGAAATTCATAACGCACGAATATGACCAAAACTTTTTTCTCTTTAAAATATTCTAGGTATTCACTGTTTTTACTGCAGTTTATCAGCACAATTTTTTCGCGAATACATCTAAGATGGTGGCCAAAATGGCTGTGACGTTTGGCATGGAATGAGGCTAAATAACCTTTACTGAATTTTTGTCTGTCGCTTTTGTTTTTCCACCTCTCTGTCTGCTTTTAAAAGCCACGTTTTACTTTGCAGCCAGCACTCCATTACTGTGTGGTGCCTCTGTGGCTGCGGCTTCATTACGTTTATGTCACTGTGTTTCCACAAAGCGTTGCCTAACTGACGTCAAAATAGGCAATGTCATTATTACATTTCATGCCCGTCGGAGCTTTGTGTTCTATCAGCCAAAATAGAGAAATACGCTTTCTATGTTACTTGAAATGCCAGGGATGAAAAGAAATTCAGTATGATCAAAATATTTATGATCTGCATTGCTTTTCATCTTCATCTAACCTGGCAATTTCTTGTGTATTTTTACGTCACTATTGTACTATATATTCATCTGTTTCCTATGAACGTATTTAAATTGATGGAGTCACCGTTTCAAGCAAGAGATACTCCGAATACTTTGAAAGGCGCACAGAAGTGTTTTTGTAGCTGTTCAGTCACGTAGCTTTCTGGGCGAGTTGGTTCAATAGGAAAGTGCTTGTCCCGTGTAGTTGTTTTTCTTCGCTTTCTTGGTGTGGTTTTTCGTTGGTTCTTTTTTCCTATTACTGTTGTTGGCGACATTCTGCTATCCGAATATCATTATGTAGCTGTCTGCTCGCATCCTGTATAAACTTTAATAATTGACTCTCTCCAGCATTCTCTCAAAACGGTTATCTTTGCTAGTGTGCCTACCACCCACCATGACCAGCGCACAAAAAAAGAACAAGACAACACAAGAAATTGCATGACACAAATTCTGTCTATCAACTAAGAGTTCAATGGAAGAAACACGTCGTATATATGCAAACACGAAGACATCAAAGAACCTTGACACCCCTCCGCAACCACGTAATCAAGTAGGCTGTAGATACGCAATCTCGGCATGACTGTACGAGCGGATTGGTGTACTCCACCCCTCTGTGATGCGGGTACATGTACATTGGGCAGACGGGACGTTACCTCAACGTCCGTCTAAGGGAACATGCTAGCTCTCCAAGGTTACGCGTCACACACATCTTGCCCTCCATTGCCTTTGGTGCGGCTGCGCAGTTGAGTTTCACACGACCACTGTGTTGATGAGGCATAGAGACCAGTACACGCGTGAAATTGCTGAAGCGTATGAAATCTTAAACGAAGGAGACAGGTTCGTGAGCCAACATCATTCAATCGCTCTTACAGACGCTGACAATGCGTATCTACAGCCTACTTGATCACGCGCTTGGGGGCGGGGGGGCGGGGTGTCAAGGTTTTTTATGGTTTCAATATGCCTATGTATGGCACGTTTCTTTCGTTAAATTTTCATTTGTTAAACAGCGTTTGTGTCGTGCACTTTCTTATGTTCTCTTGTCCTTTTTGTGCGCTGATTGGGAAGAGTATGTTCAAACTAGCCCACTTTGCTACTTTACTCCAGTCCTTATGACCTTGTATAACTTTTACCCTTAAAATGAAACCTCTGTACCATTGACAAAGGATTGTCAAGAAAACACTGGCATGAAACTATGCTGCAAACAATTCTGGTGCAGCTCTATATGTGATTTTTTTTCGTATGTAAGAAAACTGAAAACTAGAATCAGTGCTATAACTTAATGGTGCAGCTTCAATAATGACTCTGAAAAAGCATAGCAAGTCCTTGTGCTTGTGCATTGCCCTTACTAGACATCTGTTGGAGAGTCAATGTATAATCCGTCTCGCGAACGGGTATTTACCGTACGTTTCCTGTAATTTGACCAGCCGATCGTTCCTATACGTTGAAGAGAAATATGTCAGAGAACCATATAACGAAACCTATCGTAAGCAAAGAACAAAACTGCTTTCAGACACCTGTGCATCCGCTTTTTCTATTGTTGAAAGAATCGCATGAAAGGGATGATCAGTGCAGTATATATAAGTCGTGACAATCTCGATGCAGCAACTCCTTTGCCACAATTCACTTGAAATTGTTCTCGCCGGTACCGTACTTCAAAGGTAAGACACAGAATTTCAATTCGACGGAATATTTTAAGCGCGTGTTGGTTTCTCAAAAGCACGTGAAGGTAATGAGTGGACTTACCTTTTTTTAAAAAAAAGCTTGAATCCTTTAATGCGTGCTTGCTTATTCGTACCAGCCTTAACCTTGTGAGTTCTCTATAAAGGTTACTAATTTATTCTCTAATAAGCATTTTCAAACCATGAACTGAACAAAATCGCTTCCCTTGTACTTGCCAATCATATTTCGATGGCCCTGATAAATTTCACCCTAAACATTGCACAGCATGCTGCAAAGGTTGCCACTTAAATTTACTTCTTCAGATTTTCTCGCTGTGGTGTTGGGGCGTTCTTCACGAAAGATATCTTGGGACGAAACTGCCTCGCCGAGTTCTGACGCAAAGTTATTAACACAAAGCTACTGCGTGTACATGCAGGAGAAAACGTGGACGAGCCATGATGTCTTTCCACCAACTAAGAACCTATTGTCAAATATATATATATATATATATATATATATATATATATATATATATATATATATATATATATATGTATATATATATATATGTATATTTATATATATATATATATATATATATATATATATATATATATATATATATATTGATTCATAACTGCTGTTTTATATATGAAAGGAAATGCTAGTGTGACAGCAAGGCCTACGTTAACTTATATTACAATCATTGAGGTTTTCACCGAATACGATAGGGTTGATATAAACACGAACTAATAAAAAAGTGAACTTGGTAAAAACTCACTTATAATGTTTTTATGATATCGGTGTGTACCACGATGGCACAGGTCCATGTTCAGGCAAAGTACAATGTCTTTCTGTAGTATGGGCATATAGAAGAGCTTTCTGGGAAACCATAACTTGATATCCGCTCACATATCGGTCGCGAATAGCGTGATGAATTAAGTTTGAAGTAATAAAAAGTCGAAAGTAAAAACATGAAGGACAGTTCAAAAGTAGGGAGGGAATCTATTGACTAAAGTGCACTGATTGGTTTCGGCAGCACTCACCGGTATGTCTCGCATTTCTGGCTTGCTGATGGGTGCAGCTGCTATTATAGGTAAGATCAATGAATTCATTTTATACAATATATTAGAAAAGCAGCTACATATTACTTAAGTGCATATGTAATACTGGTATTCTGTGTATTATTACGCTTATATTGCAAGACTAGAGCTGATTACGGATTGTCAGTGAAGAAATGTGTGTAGCAGTAAAAAGCAAACTCAAAAATTTGGATAGACGTGCCAGGAGCTCGCTGCACATAAACAGCATATGGATAGCATTTGTAAGTCTGTGTGAAGGGACCATTTTTATGTTACCAGTGTTCGGTTCTGATATTAATCTCATATATATTTCACAACAACACGCCACTTTTAAGGTTCACACCACAATTGTCAGCATTACATACGGCAACGTTCTGTGTTCACAAGGGCTCTGAATCTCCTCGTCGTTGACAGCCCCTTGTGTTTGACCCAAACCATGCTTCTGCTCAGTATTAGATAAAACAAGGGGTCTGAAAGTTTTGTTATAACTTGGAACGTGCTCTGTGAACTCACGACATGTCTTCCTTAATTTGTTCTTTGCTCTCACGCCTTGATTCTCTTTTATCGCAGCAACCCTGCTCATCGTGGTGACAGAAACAGGTGCTCAAGAAAGTATGCGGGCACGAGCGGATGAATATAATCCAAACGCTTACCGATACTAGAGCACATGTTGGTCAGGCATTAGATACTAGCGGTGTGAGTCTACAAGCCGTGAAATGTTTCCACATTTACCACCAGCGAATTCACTACTGGTTGTCGGGCACATGTAAATTGAAAACACGTGCAAATAAATGTGCATGGTGCTTATACTCTGTTTAGTACACTATGTTTTATGTGGAAAGGTAACTGTCGTAAAACATTATGAGGAAAAGTTCACCAATAAATGTTCTATTGTAACATAGCATTTTCTACCTTTGGATACATCACTGCGCTAGCAAACATGCCCTCAACTTAAAGGAGAAAGAGAGAGAAATGTTTATTGTGGCACAAGAGCTGATACGTTGCCCTGAATACCAAATGGAGACAATGGAGACTTGGAGACAATGTCAAAAAGTAGCTGTTCATAGTTGCTCATACTTTCCCTGTACACAATAATTGGATGATTTTTAAATTTCTCTTAGTAATAGAGACACAATTTGATGTCATTATTAAAAATATTTTGCTTCAGTAGGGCTGTAATAACCATCAAATGAAAAAGTATGTGCGTCTACACTGAACTTTGAATAAAAATGAAGCATGCCATGTTAGAATGAATTTATAGGCGCACACAAATGAAAACTTGTAGAAAGAAGCACTTACTATCTATTGTCTACAAACTATTTACAAAAATTAGAGCTAAGAAAACAAGGGCAACATTAAAGTTTAACAAAGCAAACGACAGAGCAAGATTTCCTAGAGCCTTCAACACAATAGACCATGATCACACTATGAATCAGATAATAGATAAATGCGCAGAATACAACCCACCCCTTTACATAACTTTCATTATTTACGAGAATGCGTTTGTTTTAAACGAGACATCAGCAGTGATGCAGACACTATGGAAGCAAGGCATGGACAAAACTTACATTAAAAAAAACGAAAGAAATGTACAGCCTATCCACAGCCACTATAGTTATACTCCAGCAAGCGAGAAAATTTAATTAAAGAAGGCAGTAAGGCAGGAAGACACGATCTCTTCAATGCTAATCACCGCGTGTTTAGAATAGCTTTGAAGAGCCCTAGAATTGGAACAGTTGGATATAAGGGTTATTGGAAATTATCTTGGGAACCTGCGATTCGTTGATAGCATTGTCTTCATGAATAACTCAGGGGACTAACTACAGCTCATCATTAATTACCTCAACACGGAAATCAGAAGAGTCTGCCTGATATTTATTATGCATAAAACTTAAATAATTTGCAACAGTATTGGTAGAAAACTGCGCTTTGCGATAGGTGGAGAGACGCTGGAAGTTGTAAATAAATATGTCTATTTAGGACAAATAGTCGCCGTGAAACCTAACCATGAGAGTGATATTACTAGAAGAAATGTCTAATTTTTTACCTGACATGCTACTCCAGGTAGTGGGTGAGGACTATAATGCATACAGTGATGAACAGATAAACAGGTAACACATGCAACTGCACACATGCACTACACTATTTACAACGTTTCGTTCAGATATGTGGCCCGCAGGAATGTCAGTAGTGCTTTTGTGGCATGTAACACACCGGAGCTGCCTTCCCATAGGCCCATGATATCTGTCAACTCCAAGTTTGAGTCCCGTTGCACTTTTAAGACCATCTTCAAAGACTCTGTCTCTATTGCGCACATCGTGCACCCACAGACGACGTGATTGACGTCTTCTACAACGTTACCTTGCACACACAATTATGAGCGTGACAGTCGCGTTTTGTTCCTGAATAATTGGTATATCAGACATTTATTTCGATGCTGTGTAAGCATGTTTCGTCTTGCCTGTTGAGGTGTCGTCGCATACTGAAGTGACAGAATGGATCGATCTTGTACAGAGGCCTATACTTTTGACTAGCGTCTCTCCAGAGGAAGCACTGGAGATGCCAAAGCGTGTGCCGACACTATTGTGGAAGCGTCTTTCCCCGAGAAAGGTATCTCGATGATTTCTCTCCAAGTGTCTATCATGTTCAGATTTGGCAGTGTTATCAGCATGGACGTCGTTTTGTATTCTGCAGTCGACAGGTATCCACTGTAAAACAACGTGATGGTGCAAGTCGCATGCTTTCTTGCATAACCGTTCAATGCCCATGACGAGTTCTTCCTGCGTGAATGGAGACCTTAGCGACTGCAACGCTTCGCTTGAGTCAGTAAAGATGACCCAGGACTTATTTATCTCATCTACAAAGTACCTAAAGGCAGTCCATACTGCAGCCAGCTAAGTGGCGGTAAAGTGATGCAGTGACTGACGTTACATAAATGGTGACCTTTACAAATGGAACCCAGATGCCAATCGCGGATGATGTAGACGTAAAAGAGCCGTGAGTGCAAATGTGACGGTGAGCTCTGTAGCTGTTTTCCAAACGCTCTAGAGTAAATTATGTGAGTGCTGGTCTCCATGGGTGTGCGTCACTTGTTCTTGAACCCCGGCACGAAGGTGACTATGGTCGACGAAGGAGCTTTCCACGATTGTTTTGTATGCACTGATGTGCTTTGATGGCATAACGGAAGGAGGCTAGGCACAACGGGACCACTGTCAGAAGCAAGCAGTTTAGCCGGCACTTTGGTGGCATAATGCAAGTGGACTCGAAGAAACTACTGCTGCAGAAGAGTGGGAGCGGAGAGACGCCTACTTTCAGTAAGGGTTTCGATGCTTGATGTGTTCTTCAGTAGGCCAAGGCACATCTTCAGGGCCTTTGCTCAAGATCCAGTCAGTGCTTGCATATTGGTTCGAGAAATGCGAGGTAACATAGGAAGGCTACAACGTACAAGACTTTTAAAGAGAGCCGTATACACTCGCAACTTGGCATTAACGAAGCAGCCACCAGCGTTGCTTTCTAACATGCGCAAGATGCTCGCGTATGACGCAACTTTTTTCTTTTAGTATTCGAATGCGGAAGTTCACGTGCTTAGCCGGTCAATTGTCACTCCAAGAAACGTTTGACTTGTCACGTACCGAATGGGAGAATGCGCAATTTTTAATGTACAGCGTGACACATCACGCTTCGTACAAGTAACGGTGGTACACTTTTTTGGGGACACCGCTGGCCCTTGATTGAATAAAGATTTTTTTTATTGCATTGATAGCTTTCTGCAATTTCGCTCGTATAACACGTCTGTTGCGACCACTGCTCCATACACAAAAGTCATCGGCGCATAGTGAGATTTCAACCAATGCAGGGATGCACTTCTCTAATCCAATGAGAGAGATGTTGAATAAGATTGGACTTAGAACACCACCCTGGGGAACCCCTTGGTTCACTGTATGTGGGGCGGTATAAACTCCTTTTGCGGACATGTAGAGTGGCCTGTCTGTAAGGTAGTCCGAAATCAAGTCATGCATGCGACTTCCGACTCCAAAAGACGTCAGGGTGTGTAAGGTAGACATACTAACCACGTTATCGAACTCTTTCATTATGTCAAGGAACAGGCAGATATAGAAGTTACCGGTCACATTGTTAATTTTTTGCAGTTTATGAGATTGATTACATTATCGATGCCGCTGCAGCCCTTTTTAAAGTATATTGTATCAAACCTGATTGTTGGCTTGGTACTTCCTTAATGTCATACCTTAGCCCTGAAATATCACAAATAAAGAGCAAACGAACATACAACGACAAGCACTAGTAACACTTCCAACAAAAATACACTGAGTGCAAACCCCGAAATATGCATACAACATACAGACATGCGCAGTCTTCACACAGCCTTACGCTGTTCAGCTGTCGAACCATCTCTCTTACGGTGCGTACAACGTCACCAACGTGTCATGGATACACCATTTTCCTTTCTTTTTAATTGTTTCTATCAACTCGCACGCAGTTTTAGGGTCGAAGCCCCTAAAGGAGCCACCCGATTGTCCTTTGTAGTAACCACCTCTTTTGGGTATGTGCCACAGAGAACTTAAATTAAAGTCTTGGAATGTCCGGTAGAGGATGGTACTTGTATACAGTCAATATATGATGAAAGGTCCTTCTTGGAATAACCGCTAGTAGGCGGCACTTGTATATAACCGCACTAGAGATCTATCGAACTTTTAAGCAAGAAATTGCCAAGGAAAGGATCTATGATAATACTCGGGGTAGTTCTCTACTGTTTGAGGCCAGGACGGGAGTACTGCGAACCAAGACATATCGGGCCAAATACGAAGGGATAGACACAGTATGCAGTGCGTTTGGAGAGGAAGAAGAAACTGCCGAACACTTGATAATGTTCTGTAAAGGGCTTCACCCTATAGTTCAGGATGATGGCGCAGAGTTTTTTGAAGCACTGGAGTTTAGGGACCGGGAGGGTAAATAGACTTTAAGCGGGTAGACTCAACTAGAAGGAGGTTATCTGATTTGTGGCTAAAGTCAATGCACGAGTAAAAATTAAACCCTTCACTGCAAAGTACGGATCCTCAAACTCACTTTTTAAGGAAAAAATAAATATAGTTTTTGGTTCATTAAGTATTACGGCTTAGTGGCGCTAGCCACTGCCCGATCTGAAGGGTACAGCCATGCCAATCCATCCATCCATCCATCCATCCATCCAATATATGATGAAATGAAGCTCCTTAAAGTGTCACCCGATCGTCCCCTGTAGTAATAACCTCTCTAGGGTATGGGCCGCAGGGCATGGCCTCCGACATGGCGGACGCGGGCGTGTTTCTCTCCGGCAGTCACAATTGCCGCGCTTCCCAGCAAAATGAACAAGTATCACGTCGCGCTCCCGGCTACCGCGAAAGTGCGTGGATTCTGGCGGCGGTGGTGGACCACACGACAGACATCAGAACACATGGGTTTCCAATTTGAGCATGTTTTTTTTTTCGCGTACGAGCAAGAATTACCGCCAGAATCTTCTGGCTAAACTGAAAGAAAATATTTTTGTTACGTCAATTATTTTGGTTCCATTTACGAAGGAAAGCATGGCAACTGCGGTATTTCGCTGATAAGTAATTGTAAGGAGTCTGGTGTAGCATAGTGACGTGGTGGTGTTTGTGAAGTGTGGTGGCACCGTGGTGTTATGTACAACGTGCTAGGAGGCGATGGCAGCGGTGCTTCGCGATTGAGCGGCGGAAAGACGATGATGACGTTGGCGCGAAACGTCACGCATGAAACTGTGGCCCGCCAAAAGGAAGGGGAAGTTTGTGCGAAAGGTTGCGCTGCAGCCAATGCATGAGAGGGAAGAAGAGGAAGACGAGTCGGGGGCAAAACGAGATCGAGCTAAACAGATTTAAAATTCTT